ACCTTCGACACCGTCTCCCGCTACTTCTACTGGCCTTCCCTTCTCGCCGACGTCAAGGCATACATTCGCTCATGCCCCACATGTCAAGCTGTCAACCCCTCGAACCGGGCCAAACCCGGCAAGCTCCAATCATTGCCCATCCCAACTCACCGGTGGCAGTCCATCTCCATGGACTTCGTGTGCGGCCTCCCCAAGACCGACCGCGGGCATGATGGCATCTACGTCATTGTCTACCGCTTGACCAAACGTGCCCACTTCGTCCCTTGCACGACCTCGCACARTGCCAAAGACGTCGCCACACTCTTCTTCGACCATGTTGCTTGCCATCACGACCTCCTCGAGAACATCATCAGTGACCGTGATCCTCGCTTCCTYTCACAATTCTGGAAACACCTTTTCACGGCCTACGGAACCACGCTCAAGTATAGCACTGCATTCCACCCACACACCGATGGACAAATAGAGACGATGAACGATAGACTCCAAAGAATCCTGCGGAAGTATTGTCATCCACACCAACACGATTGGGATCAGTTGCTCACAGCCGCCGAGATTGCCTACAACAATGTCGTCTGCCCTTCCACCGGCATGTCCCCATTCTACCTCGACCTGGGCTACCACCCTAGCTTGCCTTTGACTTCTTGATCCCTTCGCAGCTTAACCCATCCATGCCCTGCCCCTCTCTCAATGAATGGGTAGCAACAATGAACAGACTCCTGAGAGAAGCCTCCAAAGTCATTAAACGAACCCAAGAACAACAAGCCAACAAGACTAACAAACATAGACGCGACGTGTCATTCAAAGTAGGGGACAAAGTTTGGCTCCCCGCCAAACGCTTTGAACCCGAACACGGCTTGTCCAAGAAACTCTCCAACAAATGGCTCGGTCCCGTCCCCATCACTGAACAAACCTCCCCCATCAACTACAAACTCCAACTTCCCCCTGACATGAGTCGTGTCCACCCAGTCTTCCATGTCGAGTACCTAAAAGAATACCATGAATCCCCGCTCCAGTTCGCTGACCGCCCATATCCTAGACCTCCACCAATCATGCTACCCACAGGCCCTGAATTCGTTATCGAAACCATCACTCGGTCGACGAACCACTCAGGTATCTGATCAACCGGAACCAATCACTGAATACAAAGTCAAATGGACCGGATACCCCGACGAAGAATCTACATGGAAACCTCTCTCTAATCTTAAGAACGAGATGAAACTTGTCCGCGCCTATGATCGTGCTAATCGTATGTCCTAGATACCTATATAACTATGGCATAAACCCTGCTCCAACCTCGCAACCCTGCTCTACACACACCCTTGAACCCAACCACCCTCCCCTTGACCCTCATTCCTGATGTCTGATCTGCCSTTGCCCTCGCCTAGCCTTGTCCCATCTGTCCTCTCCACTACCTTGTCTCTCTTGTCCAATGCTTGTGAACTTGCGTGACGCCGGCGATAAAGGATCTAATGGCAAGCCCACGAGGACGATGGCCTGCTGCCTCACTGTTCATGGAGATTATGCAGCTGGTTTGGCCGCCATGCTGTTTCATTGGCCGGCATCCCGACTCGCCTTACTGGAGCAGCAACTTGTGACATGGATCTTTGCATCAGTCTGCGACTTCCTTGCTTCCAGATCAGACCTCATTGCAGTCCTTGTACCGGACGCACCCTAGCACTTGGACTTTGACACTTGAACTACTACTACGCCTCTTGGACTTCTACCTATCGCAACTGCTGAAGACCGCTTCTACCACCTACTCCAAAGACCTGATCAAGACCGCTGCAGACCCCCTTTCAAGACACTCGGACACTTTGTTCCTACATGAGATTTTGCTTCCGACTCCTTCGGACACACCAGCCTTTGCATCCTGAACAAACATTTTCATTTTTATTTTTCCGACTTTGACAACCCTGTAGAACATCATTAGYAGATCCMTGTTTCCCTAACCATTGTTTCCCGTACCCACTAGAACATTGATAGACATCCCCTGTTCCCCTGACCATTGTTTCCCTTACCCACTACAACATCAATAGAAATACCCTGTTTTCCTRAACACCGTTTCCCTTACCCAGTAGAACATCAATAGAAGTTCCCTGTTCCCTGAACTCTGTTCCCCCTTAACCTATAGCGAACAATGCAGTCCCCTTAGTTCATCAGTAGGACCACCATGCTCCCTGTCGTCCGTTTAGTTCATTTGTAAAACTACCCTGTTCCCCCCCTAGTTCATCAGTAGGACAACTCTGTTCACCAGTACCAAACCCTATTCCCTCTTACTCCCGCAGCCCATGCCACGCACATTATACCCCTCTTCCCTTTCGACTTGTTAACCAGTGATCGGCCCCGTCCCGTCCTTCACAGATTTCAGCATTGCTTCATGATTTTTGGCAGCCGGGACGTTGCCTTCTNTCGGCCCCGTCCCGTCCTTCACAGATTTCAGCATTGCTTCATGATTTTTGGCAGCCGGGACGTTGCCTTCTAGAGGGAGGGGATAGTGTTACGGACTCCGCCAGGGCTCGATCCCTAGTCTATTTTTCGCTGTTTCGGCTGCATCCCGTTTTCGGCCTGGCACCCTTTTTCCAAACCCCTCCTTTGGTACCGTAGGATTTTGGACAACTGGTGCCATGCTGCAATTCGGGCGCCACTTTCAAATACCGCATTTTTCAGTTCTGCCCTCGGGGCCTTTGCAGAAATGCCCCTGGTACCGTACGTGTCAATTGTACTTATACCGGCTCCCCGTACGGTACGGGGACCGGTCTCGTACCAGTTTTCTGCTGCTGTACTCGTACTCAGTGTGACTTGTTGTTTCGGCATTCGGAATCCAAGACTTCGACTTTGTGCCTTGCCACTGTGTTTGCGTCCGACCCTCAGTCCGAGTCAGTCGTGTCGAGTGAGTGAGTGTGTGTGTGTGCTCTCACTCTCTCCCTCTCTCTCTCCTCTCCCTCGGCTCACCCTCAGCCTCACGCTCGTCACAGATACAACGTTTTCTCCAAAGGGCCCACATGACTGCTCTCCTCCCTAACTTAAACATATTGTTTTCACATGCCTCGCATAATATGGCTCTCCGGTCCCATGGCCAGTTAGAGCAAGTGGCCAACTGCGTCCAGATTCTATCCCACCATCGCCATGTAAGCACGGTCCCCGGACACTGCATGAATATATGCTCTATGGTTTCCGGGATTCTGCGGGAGGGGAAGGCGATGTGGCACGACCTACACCACGGTAGCGCTCGTCCCTTCTGCTCTAGATATGTTCGATCTATCAGCCAGTCATTGGTGGACAGGCATCGATGTTCTATCTGCCAATGTAGCGAGGCCATCTTCGCTGACCTGGACCTTGTGGCGGAGCACCATCGAATGGGGCGGATTTCTTCAGTTCCTACATTCAGATGAGACCTCCATCGAGCCTTCACCATTTCTTTTATGTTTTCTTTTGGTCGCAGCAGACGGTAGGTAGCCTTCACCGTAAACGTGTGCAGCATTAGGTTCTCCCCGGATCTGCGTTTTCGTGGGGGGGACCACTGTGAAACTGTTTTTCACCTTTTTGCAATAGCAGATGCAGATCCCAGGGCTAGATCCCTAGACCTCACCCTACTCCTGTATAGTACCTGTGTAAACCTCGAGAGTTGAACCTGTGACCTGTGTATTCATAAACAGTTGGTAGGCTATCTTAGGTCCGTAGGTGGTAGGGGTTCGATCTGTAGGTCTGTCAAATGGAAGTCCTAGCGAAGTCCAGAAGTCTTAGTTGTAGGCTTCTAGAAGGTCGGCAAGTGGGCAAGTGGTAGTGGTCAAGTGGTGAGCCAAGTGGTGGACTAAACCGCAGTGCGATTGCAGTACGATCCCGGTGGGATAGCAGCGAGTACCCGTTCAGTCAGCGGTCAGGTCCAGTCAGTCCCAATCCGGTCCAGCAAGTGCCACGAGGGACTGTGAGCACCATGGGCCGATGGCAAAGGGCAAACCAACGAGTTTCAGAAGTATAAATCAAGAGGCAGCGCCCAGCCATTCATTCATTCCTGCGTGAGCCATGCGGACGCGCTGCCACAGCGACTTGTGCAAGGAGGTCTGCAGTGAGCCCGGAGCAGAAGTGGGCGAGAGAGAAGGAGCGTAGCATAGCGATAGGGTAGATGCGGCCATAGCCGCCATAGCTAGAGTTAGTGTGTAGCGAGTGTGTGTGTGTGTGTGATTTCAGAGATTCGCGTGTGGAATATCCAGGGTGATCCAGTGTACGTGAACAGTGAGTTGTTTGGGCGCTGAGTCGCCATAGCCAGTTGAAAGTGAACTCGTATCAGGATCATTATATCTCTGAGTTTTGAGTGGGCTCATGTCGCCAGTTTGCTTCGCTACTGTTTACTTCGTGAAAAGTGTGAATGAGAACGAGTCTGATTGCATTGGTATCGGAGCTTGTACCCGCTATTCCATGCGCGTCGTCGTGTGCAGGGCCTGATGCGCCATAGCAGAGGTGGCCGCCGGGAGTTGTAGTCCGTCATAGCGGACCCGAAGGTTGGAGAAGCCGCGGTGCACCTGCAGAGAAGACCACGACGAAGAAGAAGACCGAGAGAGAGAGAGAGGTTGAGCGATATAAGATTGGGTTACTACGTACCTGCTGCGCTGGAGATATCGCTACAGAGAGAGAGAGAGAGAGAGAGAGAGAGAGAGAGAGAGAGAGAGAGAGAGAGATGAGTGATACAAGTTTGGCTGTAACATACCTGTGAAGTGTTCCGTGTAGTCCCACGAAGAAGAAGATAGCGGCCATAGCCGCGAAGTGTCACCACGGAGTAACAAAGGAGGGTGAGAGAGGACAGAGGGGGAGAGACCGAGGAAAGAGAGGGAAGCCATAGCCGAGAGGTGAAGAGAGAGCCGATCAAAAAAAAAAAAAAAGAGAAGACAACAGGGTGAAGGGAGGCGAGGAAGGTGAAGCAAAGAGGGAGGTTGGTGAGGGAAAGAGAAGCCGGCAGCCATAGCTGACCGAAGGGTTGACCGGGAGAGTTGACCGGATGTGTTGACCGACCTTGACCGGAGTTGACCGGGGATTGACCGGGGGTTGACCGGGGTTTGACCGCAGCGTTGACCGACGTTGACCAAGGCGTTGACCAAGACTTTGACCAAGCTGGAGCCGGTAAATCTTGCCAAGCCTTCAGCCTATCCCTCGCCCTATGGATGTGCACACACCCAATGATACTTGCTGAGTCAAGTCTGTCTGTCTCTTCTTTCGGCATCGAGTCTCTTCTTTCCTAGGTGATAGTACTCTATGGATGAAGGATAGGGCCTTGTTGACCAAACCCACACGGGTTGAGTAGGGCTAAAGCTGTGTCTGACGACTCGACTGTCCCGGAGGACACGAACCCTCCCAAGGACCGGTATTGACCGGCGGGCTGCTCGGTGTGGCACGGTAGGCCCAAAATCCGAGCTGTGGGCTGCACAACAGGCCGTCTAAGTGTTGAGAGACCTGCTGATCGCGTCGTCCTGTCTGCGACGTTAAAGAATTCCTGAGGAGTTACGGGGGATCTCCTTAAATGCCTCCTGATCAGCAACAGGTCTAGTAGTGACAGCCATAGTTAGGTTCAGGCTAGAGACCCTGGTTTGCAGGATCCCTGTCCGGATTCTGTGAGTCTTAGATTGAGTCAGTAGGTCTGTCAGTCAGGGGTTAGAGTCTACGTGGTGAGGTTTGGAACCGTCAAACCAGTTGTGCACTTGTCACCATGGTTGACCTTCGTAGTGGGAAGAGTACTAGCCCCTACACCCCTGAGCAGCAAGAACAGATGGTCGCCTTAGTGAGAGAGAACAAGGAGAGGAAGGAGCTCCAGAAGCAGGCGAAGTTAAAGACAATCGCAGAGGAGCAGGTGGCGAAGATGAAGAGATTGGAGGAGGAGATGGAGAGAGTTCAGCAGGAGGAGGAAGAGAGGAGAAAGGCTGCGGAGGAAGAAGCGGCAATAGAGGAGGAAAAAGAGAGAATGTGCATTGAGAGTAGAGAGGGAAGTAGTGGCACGAAGAGGGATACAGACGCAGAGATGGAGAAAAAAATAAGTGAGTGGGTCGCTAATTTATCGTTGGGAGAAGACGAGGAGGCGGAGTATTATGTGCCTCAGGATGAGAGAGATGCGTTAGCCAGGGGGCTAACAGCAATGGAGGACCCTCTGGAACGGCGAGAAAGAGAAGAGGAGAAGAAGTTAGAATGGAAACTGAGGATGATGAGCAGGGTTGCATCGGCGCCGACCACCGACCCCGACCGCCGACCGTTTTGTCCCGACCGATGGGGGCCAACCGGTCGGCGGTCCGCAGACCAGTCAGAAAACAGGCATCCGCTGCTTTCTTTTTTCTTTCTGATTGCGCAGCCTTACTGCGCTTGCTGAGTACAGCCCAAATCCGTAGAGAAACTTTGACTTTGGGGGGGTCTTTAGGGGGTTTAGGGGTTTAGGGGTTTAGAGGTTTAGGGGTTTAGCAGTTAAGGGGTTCGGGGGGCTGTTCGAGGGCTGAAAAGGGGTCGAAGACTCGAAGTAGGTGACTGCTATGTTGCACGCTGGTCGCGGTCGGGTTCGGCCCAGGCCGCGGCCGGCGGCCTAGACCGGGACCCCCCCGGCCGCGGCCGGGCCAGCCGAGTTTTTTCGGCCTCGGCCTCGGCCGATTTGGGGGGCGGTTTCCGAAGCGGGGAGCGGGTTTGAGGTGGGGGGTTGGGGGGGCACCCCCTCAAAGTAGCAGAGCGTCAAAAAAATAAAAAACGGGGGGGTCCTGCACATGACCCTGGAAGGGTGGGCCGCGAAAATTCGTGCGTCCCCCGCGTGCGGGTTTGTCGATGCGGAGTCCCAGGGAAGAGGGTCTGGAACACTAGAAAAATAAAATAAAAATATTTGACCCCTGCGGGGGCGGCCCAATGGGGGTTGGATGAGGGCCTGGTTGGGGCGGCCCGTGCGGCCAGGTCGGGTCGAAGCTGGGCGGGGCTGCAAATGGCAGACCCCAGGCAGATCAGGGCCTCAGGCAGGCGTCGATTTCATTCGTGAGGGTGATGACAGTTCGTGACATATTTTGAAACAACACATTCATGGCAATCGTAGGTCAGACCCTGGTTGGCATATCAAAGTCACAACACATTCACAATCAATCACAGTGCGGCCAACCATAAGTTTCAAACAATGTTAACAGGCAAGTGTGTAATAGTGTGTGTTCACTCATCAGGCTGGTGGAAGTTTGTGTAAAAACACATTCATTAGCACATCATCCCTATTTGGCATCCGAAATTAACAGCACACTCATAATGGAGGCATCCATGACATGCAGGTGCATGGCATCGGAGAAGCACATAATTTGCAACAATCACGACAACAAACCAGAAACCACTCACCAAACAACAACGACTAAGATGCAAAACCAAGGTTGGGAGAGGAACACGAACAAGAGCAAATATATGACAAAGCATTTCGATGGAAATGCGTATGTACAAGGCTGAAGCCAAAAACTGGACCCGTCATCTCTACCGTACAACCGAGTAGGAAAAATAAAAAAAATAAAAAAGAAACCCTAATGTCCACATACTGTCGTCGTCTCCATGGAACAACATCGACACAAATATGGAACAACCCTGCCGACAGAGCGTCCAGCCACGCAAAAAAAAACAACTAATGAAAAAAAAAAAAAACCACAGACGTCGTCATCTCGCTCCAGAGCGCGCGCGGCCTCTCCCGGAGGACGGGCGGCCATGTGGTGAGGTATGCCGCCTGTGCTGCAGCGGCTGCCGCGGCCACCTGTGCCCTGTGTCTGCGGGCCGCAGTCTCGATCGGCTCGGACTCTGTGTCTGCATCCTCGTCCTCCGCCGCCCGTGCAGCAATCCCCCCCTCTCTCCCTTTGAATCGCGTCCAATGCTGGTCGGCCAGCGGCGATCTCTGCCGCGAGTGGAGCCTCAACCTCCGAGAGGCCGCGCTGTTGTCTCGTCCCGGGACGCATCAACAACCCCTCCCCGCCCGATGTGTACTGTTGTCCCTGCAGCATGTCCGTGGATGTCCCTGCGGCCTCGAGGACCAATGATCTCCTCATCTCCGCTCGTGACAAACCGAGCATGCGGCCTGCCATCTGCAGGCTCGGACGTCCGGACCCACCCTCCGCAGCCTGCGTCTGAACTGCCGTACGTCCCGCGAAGACGCCCCTCTCGGCGTCGTAATCCTCCCACAACCGGTCCCCGACCCGACGAACAGCTGACCATCCGCCACCCACACCACCTCGGACTGTCGGCGGGGAACCGCCACTATGTGCAACTCCGGGTGCCGCCGTCTGGTCCTCGGCGTCGACGCCAGCCTCTGAAGCCCGTGCGGGCGGTGGAGGCATCGATCCTGCATTGTCTCTGTCGCCCTCGCTGTGTCTGCCGTACCCCACCTCACCCGCTCCGGACTCCCTCCCTCTCACGCCGGACCCCACCTCACCCGCTCCGGACTCCCTCCCTCTCACGCCGCTGAGCGACGAACCCGACCATCGAGGGCTCAGCACCACGAACGGCGGCGGTGAATATTCCCTTCCAGGGGCCCGCCTCTTGCCGCTCATGCGGCCCGTGTGTGCGAAAGGGTCGGCCGTCAAACCTTGCGCCAAAGCATCGACGTCGAAGAAAGTGTGCGCTAAGTCGCCAGGGCGCAAGGGAGGTACTGTGGGGTCCCTTAAACCACCAGTACCCCGCCCAGGCAAAGTTTTTCGTCTCCTTGAATTCAGGAAAGCCCTGGACAGGCCCTGTAGAGGCTTGGTCGAGCTTCGGCACAGCGCGGGTGGTCGTTCGTTTTGAAAATGGGACGAGCGACCAGAGGAAAAAAAAAAAAGGAGAAAAAAAATGAATAAGCAAAAAAAAAAAAAAAGGACAGACCTTTTCCCCTCAAAACGGCATGATTGGCTGTCGCTCCACTCCCACGAAAGGTGCCAAATGAGAATGACCGTGCTACTCTTCTCTGTATCTTTCCGTGGTCCGGCGGAAGATTGATCCTCACTTTGCACCATTCGTGGAGGTGGAGCGAGGCTCCAGTTCTTTCGAAGCCTGCCGCCTGTGTCGCTCTGACAGCCAGTCGCGCCGTGTTGTGGGGAAAAGGTCTGTCGTTTCTTTTTTTTGCTTTATTTGTTTTTTCCTCTTTTGTGTACATTCACGAATGTATCAACATGTAAAATGCAGTCCCGGTACGTGTATCCATAATGAGTAGTCGAGGACACTACCCTAGTCCATAAACCAAAGGTGCAAATACTGAGAATGAATCTTCCACTGCCCCACGGACAGATACACACAAGAGTAGAATGGCCCTGCGCAAGGATGAGACCCCCACCCGCGCCGTGAACAGCTCTCCTGGCAGTCGCAGCAGCCAATAGGGGAAAAAACAAGAAGACAGACGGGAAAAATAAAAGAACAATGGGAAAAAATACGACAAAGGGAAAAGACAAAAAAAAAAATACTGAGAATGAATCTCCCACCTGTCTCTTATACACATCTAGATGTGTATAAGAGACAGGCCCCACGGACAGATACACACAAGAGTAGAATGGCCCTGCGCAAGGATGAGACCCCCACCCGCGCCGTGAACAGCTCTCCTGGCAGTCGCAGCAGCCAATAGGGGAAAAAACAAGAAGACARACGGGAAAAATAAAAGAACAATGGGAAAAAATACGACAAAGGGAAAAGACAAAAAAAAAAAAAACACCAGCATACAGCTTCCGGTTGCTCCCTTGGAGGACCGGTTACCCACTGAATTTGTACGTCTCACAAGTTGCATTCGGAGGTTCGGTAGCTTCTAAAGAAAAACGTTCGGGAAGACTGCTTCGGGGGTACAGGTGGTTTAACACCAAGGCGAGCCTATACGCATCGTCCTCGGGACCGTGGTCGTCGTCATCATCTCCATCTGGTCCATCGTCTCCCCCAACACCCGCGGCATCCCCATCTGCACCGGGTCCACCCTCTCCCCTGCCGCACACGGCAGCACCCTGTCCCTCATCACCCGTGGTCTCGCCGTCACCAGGACCCACCGCCCACGGCAACATCCTGGCCCTCATCAACCGCGGTCTCCCCGTCGTCGCGTCGTCCACCACCTGACCCACCACCCGCGGCGGCATCCTGTCCCTCATCAACGAACTCCCCCTGAACTGCCTCCTCAGGGACACCCGAGTCGTCGGCGTCACGGCCTCCCCCCCCTCCTGTCTCCAACTCCCTCTGCCGACGTTGCTCCTCGAGATACGGGGACCGACCCTCCCATTGTGGCAAAGTCCGCAGCCGCTCCTCCTCCTCTCGGTCCAAATGGGCATGCCGCTCCTCCTCAGTCTCAACACGGCCCCGCACAACGTCCTCGTCAATGCGCACCGTCGACGGTGAGGTACGTCTACGTCCATCGACACTGAAATCTCCCAAGCCCCCACCAAGTCCTCCGACGTCAAAGTCGTGTGTGCGGAGCTCCGACGGCGAGCGGGGGCGCATACGGGCGTCGGAAGGAGTCCTCTCCCCCCCACGATCCTCGCCGTCATGTGTCCAGTCTGTGCCTACTGTCGACGCCAACCTCTCCAAACGCCTAAGTGCCTCGGGCTGTGCAGAGATCGGATGATGGGAGGGAGAGAAGCGACGATCGCGAAGGGGCACCTCCTCGTCCTCGGCCTCCCCCTCGGCCTCGCTGTCGCTCCTAACCTCCCAACGCCTGCCTGTCTGCCGAAGGCCTCCCCGTGGCTCCTTCTCCCCCGAGCCGTCGACGCCAACCTCCGCGTGCGAACGTCCTCCACGACGACCGTCGGCTCTGCTGCTGCCACTCGCCTGTTCAGTCGACGGCACATCACCAGTGATAACTGATGTGAACGAAGCCATGCCGTCACGTCCCCCACCGTAAGTGAAGTACACCCGCTCAGCCGTCGCGTCGCCACTCAGCGGCGCGTCATCATCGTCTGTCCACTGGTCGTCGATGTCGTCGTCTCCCGCATCGGTTTCCGCATCATCCCCACCCTTCGGCCACGGTCGCAGCTCCGTCGACCTCTTGCCGAACACGTCCTGAACCGAATGGGCTCGGGACGGTCGGCTGTCATGGAAAGTGACAATCTGCCGCTGGATGTCCTGCTCGAGAACACTGCCAGCAGGTCGCGCTCCCCACACCTCGGGCTCCACGTCTCCCTCCTCATCCTCGTCCTCTGCAGCCGTCCCCTCCTGACCAGTCCCGATAACCCATGGCAACACGTACCCACCACCCTGCCGTGCGCACGAGGCCAGTTTGAGATTGGTGGCAATCTCAACCAGCTGTGCAAGCTTGGCAAACCCAAGCTTGACACACCTCGCCGTGTTGATGCGCTCGTGCTGCGCCCAGTTCCTCTCCGCTGGAGAGGCAGACGTCCACAAGTGCATGACACAGATGGCGATGGTGCGCAACTCCGGGTGGGCACGTCCATGGTCAAACCACCACGCCGCACAACGCTCGGTCTCGCGGTCCCCCTGCAATCGTCCGCCTCGGCATCGGAGAGGGACCGATCTCCCCAATCTCCTCGCCTCGAGTGGAAGTACCTCGTCTGGTCCCTCACGGTCCTGTACAGTCTGCTGACCGAATCGCCGCCAGTCTGCGCCAGGAGAAATCTGTCGCACTCCTTGACCACACGGGCGTCGTCGGCGGTCACGACTCGTAATACATGAGGGACCGTCGACGAGGGTTGAGGAGGTGGGCCGCGGCATGTGCGGACTCTAGCATGTGGAGGTTGCGGATGGCAACCTCACGCACGCACGGCTCGATCATGTCCGCCGACATGTCGACCCTCCTCATCAACCGCAGCACATGCTGACTCCACTCGTAAACGACGGACATCATCATCCCCCCCCTATCCATCCTGCGCAACAGCTGGTGGACAGGCGCCATGACAAGGATGGCGTACTGGACACACCGCCAAAACTCCCCGTCCTGGATCTGCTGCTGCACCCACTGCGCCTGCGATACAAGCCTGCGCTCCCACGGGATGCGTGCCCAAGCATCTTCGTGCAACATGCTCTCCAACGAATCTCGTCGGCCTTTGAGACACGTCAGCATCAGGAAAACCGATGTGAACCGTGTCTCGACGGGCTCGACGAGCTGAACGCGAGGGCTCACCTTCCTAAACAGGGCGTGAGCGGTGCCGTGCTATTTAATAAATCACACAAGCGCTCGAGCGCGGATGATGGTATCCTTGACCCACCCCACTCGCGTCCCGATATCTTACAACATCAAGTTGCAGACATGGGTGGAGCAGGGGAGCCAAGTGATCCTCCTAATGTCGGGCTTGGGGTCCGTGGCGAATCTGCGTGCTGCCGCCGTATAGTTACTGGCGGAGTTTGTGCAGAAGCCGATCACGTCCTTTGCAGGAAAGGACAAGATGATGGCCCGCCACCTACGGTACACGATGTCCGCTGTATCTCGGACCGACCCGTCACGTGCGACGGTGGCGTATAGCATGGCGCCATTGGCGCCCCCGGCGAGGAAGTTCACGAGCGGCTTGCCGCTGCGCGACTTCCTCCCGTCGGAGAGGATGGTGGCACAGGTGTGCCGGAAAGCGGCGCGCACCTCGCTCACCATCGTCGTCACCTTCGCCCTCTGCGAAGGGATCCCGGCGCCCGCTGTAACCTTGTAGGAGGGAAACCGAAACTGGATAGTGCGAGGCACTCTCTCTGCCGCCTGTCGCACCCTCTGGAACTCCGGACCACGGACGACGTTGAATGGCAACCCCTTCTCGTAGATCCACTGCAGCCACGCGTCTGTGAACTCGGCCAATTTCTCCTTGTCGTACATCTCCTCAATCGTCGTCTGCCGAGCCCTTTTCTCCCTTCCCGTGTCTCGCACCTCGACGTCAGCCTCCCCCACTGCCCTCTTCTCCCTCCTCGCGCGCTTCAACTCATGTTGCGACGCCCTAGGAGCGGGACCCGCTCGACCGACGCCTCTCGACATCATCACCACCTCCTCCCCTGGCAGGTCAGGCTATCTGACTGCCTCGTCTGCCACCCCCCCCTTCCCGATCCCACCCTCACGGCCCTCCTCCTCATCGGGGGTGTCCTGAATCTCGTCCCTCTCTGCGTCGTCCATCCGCTGTCGCTGGCCACCCGTGGGCGCTCTCGTATCCCGTATCCCCTCGTCCGCCATCCACCTCTGCACCCGCTGAGCAGTGGACGGCACGAATGTGTAGTCCGTGTCGTTCCAGAGTTCCGCGAGAACTCTCATCCCCCTAGCCTTGCAGTACTTCGACTGCATGAAATGGCGCGCGGCCTTCGACGACCCCCCCTGAAACAAGTGGCCGCATAAGTTGCAACGCAACTTTCGGTCCCCATGCATCTTCCCCCCACTCGAATCCAACAAGCCGTCACGATGACCGTCGATGTCGTCGGACCGTGCCGTACCGTCAATGCAGTCCCTGACGTCCCCGCTGCCGCCACCGGCGCGTCCCCTCATGTCGTCGATGCCCGTGCTCTCCGCGGCCCCAGGCCGGTCGGCCCCCCGCACAGCCGCGAGCTGCAACGGCCGTGTTCGGCCTCGATCAGCCCCGTTCGGCAGGGATCGGCCGTGTTCGGCCGCGGCCAGGCACTAAAACAGCCGCCGTGCGGAAAAAGGTCGCGCGCGGCGATGGTGACGGCCGTCGGGCCGGCGCTGGCGCGGCGCGCGCCGCGGCCACCCGCGCAGCATAGGAGGAGGAAGAAGAAGAAGAAGAAGAAGATCTCTCTCTCTCTCTCTCTCTCA